ATTCTAAAAATAAACCAATAGAGAAGCATAATGAACATCATATTTGTATCAACAAGAGTAATGAAATAGTAACACGTGCACGGCATCACCCTTCGTGCTTTTACTCTCGTTCTCACCTTATGAAACAACAGAAACGGCACGGCATCACCCTTCGTGCATTACCTCTCATAATCATGGCACGACATTACCTTTTGTGCATTAACTCTCACAATATCGGCATGGCATCACCCTTCGTGCATTAGCTCTCAAATCATGGCACAGAATCACCCTTCGTGCATTATCACTCACAATATCGGCACGGCATCACCCTTCATGCATTAACACTCACTCACAATATCATACACAGCATCACCCTTTGTGCTTTACACTCTTTCTCACCCAAACAATAGAAATAATACATCTCGGTAAGGGAATCAACAATAGGAACAATAACATCCCAGCAAGAGAATCAGCTATAACCAATATCGTTTCAACAGTTATTTCACAAAATAAATTTCAACTTGAGCCAATACTCAACAACGGTCAATTATCAAGAAACTTTCATAAGTCTTGTTCAACATTGGTAATCATCAATTTAAGCATGGACGGTACATATTAGAGTCACAACAATCATGGTATAAGACTCATGGGCATGCTAGACACCAATGTATAGATACTTATCACCACACATATACGTCGTACGCAACACTAACATGTAGCAAATAGGACAACAACACCTATTCCCTCAAGCTAAGGTTATACCAAACACTTACCTCAATTTCACGGACAAAATTAAGCCTCAAATACCGCTTTACCTTTCGGTTCCACTTCCAATCCGCTTATATCAAGTCATAATTTACTTAATAACATCAATAAATGCTAAATAAACCAATTCTAGTGCATGAATATAGATTTCCCAATATTTTCCCCAAAACATCAAAAATCGACCCCATGCTCGCTTGGTTAAAACTCGAAGTTCGAACCAAAACCTGATTACCCATTCACCCACGAACTCAAACATGCAATTGGTTTTGAAATCCGACATCAATTGAGGTCCAAATCCCCAAAATTTGAAAATCCTAATTTCTACCCAAAAACACCCAATTTCCCAAGAAAAACCATAGATTTTGAGATGAAAACATGTAAAAAGATGAATTAGATTGAAGAAGATGAGTTAGAAATTACTTACCTATGATTTGGAGAAGTTTAGGTCTTTGAAAAATCGCCTAAGGATGTTTAGGGTTTGAGAAAATTACAAAATGATGAAAATCTCGTCTGAAATCCGACTTAACAGGTCGCAGTTATCGCAATTGTGATCAGGTGTGAACCCTTTGAAATACTGTTGCCTTCATATTGCGAAGAAAACGTCGCATTTGCGACAGAAGGGCCTTCGCAAATTCTGGCTCAGAGTTCGCATTTGCAAGGAGGACCTGCCCAGGCCTCGTTCATATTTGCGACATATTTGTCGAATTTCCTAGGCCTATTCACTTTGTAATTGCGAAGTCTGATGTCGCAATTGCGAGATCAGAGGCCTGTGCAAAAATACCAGATGCACTGCTGAGTTTTCTAAGTCCAAATCACCTCGTGGCCTATCCAAACCTCACCCGAGCCCTCGGGGATCCAAACAAAGCATGCACGCAAGTCCAAAAACATCATATACACTTGCTCGTGCGATTAAATCATCAAAATAACATCAACAACTACGACTTTAACCGCAAATTCATGAAATTCATAAGATAGTTCAAATTTTCCATTTCCTCAACCTAGGTTCCGGATTATATCAAATCAACTCTGATTCTTACCTAATTTCACAGATTTGACTTAATTATTATTTTAAACCTGTACCGGACTCCAAAACCAAAATGCGGGCCCGATACCATCAAGAACACACACCATTTCATTTCCAAAAGTTCTTATATTTTCCAGCAAATAATTTTCTTTAAAAATTCATTTCTCGGGCTAGGGACCTCGCAATTCGATTCCAGGCATACGCCCAAGTCCAATATTTTACTACTGACCCTACGGGACCGTCAAATCACGAGTCTAGGTCCGTTTATCAAAAATATTGATCGAAGTCAACTTTAATCAATTTTAAAGGTCAAATTCAATATTTCTCTTAAAGTTTATATAAAAGCTTTCCGGAAACGTGCCCAGAATGCGCATGCAAGTCGAGATGAGACAAAAGGATATTTTTAAGGCCTCAGAATACAGATTTGACTTCTAAAACAAGAGATGACCTTTTAGGTCGTCACAATCATCAACCAAAATCACCACCAACCACCGCCTCTAGTCGGCATTCACAAGCACCACCGTTAACCATCACCACTATTAACTACCATATTTTAAAAAATGTATATATTATTCACAAAATATTATATTAATTATTATTTTATTTGAATTTTATATTTATTAAATTCTCAAATAAATATAAATTTTATATATCCAGATTTTAATAAACAAACAATCTTAATCATTTAGTATTGATATTTTAATACACATCTTAATATTCAGACATGTTGTTTACCCTCAAAATCGGATAACAATTGAATTTTTATGTGGTTTTAAGGATATGCAAATTAAATCGACACAAATAATTTATGGCGTTAGATTTATGGCGTAAGATTGGACAGATAAAAGACGTAATAAATTGCCTAACCAATAGTGAGAGTGATTCGGACTTAGTAATGGCTTAATGAAATGTTTGTCTTCGATCTTGGGCTCACGATAGTGGAGAACTCATGAACAAAAGTAAGAACAAAGAAAAATAATAGTATATTGCCTTGATATACGTGTTAAAAAATGTGTTTAATGAATAGTTAGATTCCCCTTTATATAGTATGGGAGTTTCACCCTAAGTACAATTCTAAAAGAGGGTAAAAATCCTTCTTCTTACTAATCACTGATTTATTGCTGATACGAGCCGAGAATTACACCGTGACATCCGGTTGGGCACGAATATCTCGGCCCTTTGCTAGTCGTGCACGATTGTCCGGTAATGCTCTCCGAAATTTTAGGGTTCGAATAGGACCTGGGGGACTTATCCCCGATTCTTTCGAGGGCATGTATTTTGCCCCAATCTCGACACGAGGGGCTCCTTGCCCTGATTCCGATTCTTTACGGCCATGTCTCTGCTCCCTTTGCTTCACCGAGAACCGAGGTATCCAAAGGGATCTCACCCGTATACAGATAGTCCTCTCATTTCTCAGTAAGTAGGTTTACTGAAATGATGAGAACGACATATGCACTTCGATTCCTTCTTCAATACACTGTGACAGAAACGACAAAAAATTCGAAACGTCCCGTCAGTCGTGTCGTTATGACTTCGAACACGTGTCAGCCATCGGCAGGTCATCCCTGAAGGCGAAGAGATGTGAAACCTCTATAAATACTTTCATCATTCATTCATTTTTTACCTTTTGACCAAGCTTCTACCTTCGAGTTTTCAGGCTATCACTACCCTTCTTCATACTCTCATATATTTACCTCCGTTCTTCAGGATTTCTCAGTAAGTTACAAGTTTTTACCTAGTTTTCACCCAAATCAGTGCCCTTGACTCTTCATCTTTCAACCTTTCTTCTTATTTTCAAGCTTTTTTCTGATAACAATGGTTAAAACTTCCAAATCTGTTCCTCAACTAGTTGTTCTTCTTCACAGCTGACTGCTGAAATCGAGGAGGTCACTCCCGATGTAGTCGTCCTCGTGACGTTTGCTCCTGGCGCGGCTACTAATAAACTGGCTCCTGAGCTTCGCCTTGATATGCGTGTTAAAAAAATATGTCTAATGAATAGTTAGACTCCCCTTTATATAGTAGGGGAGTTTCACCCTAAGTACAATTCTAAAAAAGAGTAGAAGTCCTTCTTCTTGCTAATCACTGATCCGTTGCTGATACGAGCCGAGAAATACGTTGTGATATCCGATTGGGCACAGATATCTCGGCCCTTTGTTAGTCGTGCGTGATTGTCTGGTAATGCTCTCCGAAGTTTTGGGGTTCGAATCGGACCTGGGGGACGTGTTCCCGATTCTTCTGAGGGTAGGTGTTTTGCACAAACCTCTACACGAGGAGCTCCTTGCTCTAATTCAAATATCTTAATCTTAATATGCATCTTGATAATCAAATGTGTATTCAGATTGAGACATTTTAATCTTTAAAAAAACAATGAGGCCTTATTCAAGGAGGAATTGAAGGCACCAAAATTATTGCTCGGTAACGAAAGTCACAAATTATGCATATGGCGTCCCTATGAATAAGAGAAGCACCAAGACTAGAAGGGATTATCTGTTCTGATGTGCGCCCTTCGTGTTTCATTACGGGCTGGCCCGGCCCAACCTAGCTGAACTTACACTGTTACACAGGCTTTGGTATTTGATGGACTTGATTGGGCTGACCCACTATTGCAATATTTGCATTAGGACGATGCATGTGGCCTTAATCGGTGATATTTAAAGGGGGGGGAAAAAAGATTTAGAAAATTTGTGAAATTAAACATATTATAACACATGTATTTGTTATAAACTTTTTCAGACGTATGATCTTAAAATATGCAATAACATGTGTATAATTTTAAAATTTATTATTAACATTAAAAATATAAGTTAAATTAAGAAAGCTTTTACTATTTTAGGAAAAAAAATTGCCACCACATAAACTCAAATGAAGAGAGTATTATTTAGGACATTTTAGTAAGTTTACTCTATCTCGTTTGTTAAGTCACTATCTTTTTTATCTTTTCGAAAGAATAATCACATTATATATTTAAAAACTCTTAAACGTTCAATGCTTTATTTACTCTTATAAATTTGTTCATCTCCTTCTTGAAATCTCTTCTAGACACGAATTACGCCTCAAATATTAGCAACAGTAAACTAATAAAGTTTGTAGAAAAGAAAACGGAGTACTAATGAAGTACAATAAAGAAAATTGAAAAATCGGCTTGTTCTTTTGTTTACTCCTATATTAAAATAGAATTCAAAATGATACAAGATAGAAATTGGGCCCCAGCATAAAGTAAAGATAACGCAAGTCAGCTCAACGGATATGAATAGTTGCTTCATGTTTCCTTGGTTCAATAATTAATGAGATAAAATTAACTCAGGTGTATATCAGAATTTAACATCAAAGCTCCAGAATTCAGATCGAGTATCAAATGATTGCTAATTTTCAAGAGAAAAATTAACTCCAATTTCTAGCCTCGGAAATCATTTGATTTTTCTAATATATGCCTTTCATAGTTTAGATTCCTATTTTTATAGTGTCCTTTCTGATTTTCAGATATACAAACTACGCTACCATTCACAAAACCTAGGCGGGCCAAGCCGCCAGAAGTTTCATCGTTTTATAGAGCAGGTAACGACTCCTGCCGCCATGGGAATTCAGAAAAATCCGACGGCTCCGGGTAATCAAATAACCCGTCAACCGTCACAAAGTCACCGTTGCCATTCACCCCATCATTATCTCCTTGCCTTACCTCGTCGGCCATCCCGAAGTCGAACGTGTCATAATTAGGCATTTCATCCTCAAATCCCACCATATTCACCAATCCAGCAGCCTCCGGCATGGCAGATTCGGCGTGAACCTGTTCATCTGCCGGAGAAAATGTTGGCGGGAGACCGAGCTCATCGTCTGAGGCCTCGAGGAGATAACCGAGGTCCGGCCGGGAGTCTCCGGACTCTGATGACGTCAGATCTAGGACGGTCTGAGTATCGAGATAATTCGAGCGGTGAAGGATCTCCTCCTCAAAGCTCTTCATGACAGAGTCGAGATCCTGAATCTCCGGTGGACAATCCGTCAGAGCGTCAGGCTCATCTAAGATGTCCAATATGTCTTCTCTGATCTGCTTAGCCTCCGACGAGTCCAGGTCCACATCTGTTTCCACGATATCCGTTTCGTGTGGTTCAGAACACCTGAACCGGTCCGAACCGGACGAGTTAGGACTTACATCCGATTCCGACTCGACTCGGTCGGACTCGGCCGAATCATGACTCGTATATACCTCTGTGTTAACTCGCTTCGACTCAGGCGAGTTATCAACTGAGTCCAATCCCGACTCCACTCGGAACCGTTTGTTACTGTTATTATTCTCGGGTTTCTTCAACACTTCCATATTGTAGAGTAGCCAAACAAGGGATAGTTAAATTTGCTTAAGATGAGAGATTATAAAATTCGAAATAAGACAATAGGGTGATTAGAAATGAATAGCTTATCTTTTTGAATAATATAGGGAGAAAAGTGGGTTGTGGTGGGAAAAACTACAGTGAGCTAGTGTAGTAATTTTAGGCCTAGAGAGAGAAAAAGAAATAAAGCAAAAGACGAGCTGTTTGCTTTTGGTCGTTGGATGTTCCTTGTTTGGTAAAAAGAGAGGAAAATAATGAGAAGCAGTGAAGGAGATAATGAAGGGAAAGATGGTTTATATAGTGGGGGAGAATAGGAGGGAACCAAAGGGTGACAGTGATAAGACTTTTATTTGGAGAGAGAGAGGAGACGAAAGATGCTGTTTTCAGGTTAAGATGCAAAGGTGTGGGGAAGTGGAGGTGGCATTTATATAGTCAATCTAAAAAGATGGGGATTTTTCTCGATACAGTTTTTTAATATAAGTTCTTTTTTTCTAGTAATGGATGGAGTGAGAGAGAGGGAAATTATTTTAATTAATTAAAGGAGGAAAAGTAGGCAGAGATTTGAGATGGAGAGATGTGGACAGGCGCGTCTTTGGCGGTTTCTTATTTTAATAATAATACTCCTTTAAGTCATATTTCTCCATCTATTCCTCCTACCATCACGTTTTCACGGACATCTTGCCTTTTTCTTTTTCTTTTCTATTTGCTTTGTTTAGTTGGATTTGAATTTCTCTTTTTTCCTGTCTCATCCATTTCTGGTGTCCATTCATTTTAATTTTTATTTCAGTTCCGCATTTCAAGTCCGTCTCCGGGCCCACCGTTTTCGGAAGGAAAAACGATGACGACTTGTCCTTGGGCTCTGTGCAAGCTGGCTCCACACCTTCAGCTTCAACCGGCTTCTTCTGATCAGTACGTATTAATTGTTCCTTTTTCTTAAAACATTTTAAATAAATTTGAATTTTTGTTTAATGACGTGTTCATCTGTTCATGACGTGTTCTTCGCGCTTTCTGTGATTTTCATTGGTTGCTGACTTCCGTCTTTTACATTTTCACTTTTGTTTTTGCGTGTCTTTTTTATCTGCTGCTCCTGTCATCTGACCAGGTAAAGGAAAAACCCAGGAAAAAAAAAGTGAAATAGTATTGTATTTGCTACTGTATTGGTCAAAATTTGATCGCTGCGATCGATTCAACCGAGATCCCGTCCAAGCGGCGAGATAGTGGAAGACGACATGGTTTGCTCCAAACCCCTTACTCACAATATTCGCCAAGTCAAAGAACAATACTTAGGAAACGACGAAAGCGGACGTGATATGAAAGTGTATCGACCCAAGAACATAGTAAGGATTCCATAACTATATATAGGGAGCAGGGGCAGATGCACGCTTGTCGAAGCGGTATCACGCGACACCGCTTCCTTGGAAAATTTTACTCAATATATGTATTAATACTATACGGAAATGGATAAGTAGGAAAAAATGATGCCAGTTGATATAAATTGTATCTTGGTGTGTTGGTTAGGTGCTTGATTTTTCTCTAAGAGGTCAAAGGTTCAAACCTCAATTAGTACACTTTTCTTTTGCAAATATTTGACAGCGCCTTCTTGGTTAAAAATTGTGATGAAATAGAATTGAACTCGGGATCTTTTCCAATTTATGACTCAACAAAAACAATAGACTATGTCTATCTCTTGTTTAAAAATATGATACACAAAGCTATATTAAAATTTTTCGATAAATTTCGACACCGCTTACTAAATTTCCCGTGTACGCCCCTGATAGGGAGGAAACCTTCCGAGAAAAGAGGGACTTCTTCTCTTTCTCTTTCCTCACCTCTGTAATCTTCTTAGTAAAAAGAAGACAAAGCAATCTTTCATGGAATATGTAAAACAGTCATCTACATCGATTAGTGAGAGAAGAAATAAAAAGCATCAAAAAGATTGATCGCCCCTATTTTGTCTTATAGATCTGGAGTTTATTATGTTTGACAAAGATTTACCTATTCATCTTCTTTAATTGATTTAATCAAAAAGGTTTCAATATCTTTTGGTCAAATAATTTGGCGCCGTCTGTTGGGATTTCTTAGTGAAAACTTCCTAGTCTCCTCCAAATCAAAAATCGGAAACACGATCACCCACTGAAACAAACTGTAAGTAAACCTCACACGCCAACCTAAATCATGATGTTATATACAAGCAGAAGTTGCAACTAACATCCTCCTCCGCATGTCGGGCAGCCCATGAGCCAGCCAAAATGAGCCTAGCCCGCACAAGACAAAGGCACAAAAAAAGGAAGGGAAAGAGAACTGAATATAGTTACCGAATTAAGAAAATCTCCCCCCATCAACCATTGAAATGCCAAGAAAAGCGAGCAACGCCACAGATCCACCTTCTGTTGTTTGCTCAAACAAGAACGCAAGCGTCGCGCGGGCGAGCGAACGAGCAAGGAAACATCCCAACTGAAGAATGGGAAATTACTACAAAACGACCGAAATATCGTCCATCAGACAAACCCAACTCCTAGGAAATGATACCCCTTAAGCGATACCCCCTCTCCCTCCCCAAGAAGGTGTCCCAAGAGAGCCCTCCCGGGGACTTAAAGACCGGGCTGACGAGGGGGAACTCCCTAAGGTCAAAGGGTAATTTATCGCCCCACCCACCAATGATACCTCCAGACCGGAAAGCGAAAAGGTTTGACAGGGAAACTCCAATAAGAGCGTGAAACGAGTGTAAGCAAAGCAGTAGCGTTTTCTGCTCTCCGACATCAGATTCCCGATGCAAATAAAATTAGGCGAGCTGGGACTCCCCCAGAAGATACCCAACTCTCCGAAAAATCGGAACTCACGACGGGTTAATATTTCGATAAAATTTCGAAATAACACCCTCAAAGCCTAGGGCTTTCGCAAAAAAGAAGAGCTCGACCTCAATCGAACAACAACGGATTAATATTTCGACGAAAGTTCGAAATAACACCCCCAAGGCCAATGGCCTTCGCCAAAAAAGAAGAGTTCGACCTCGATCAAACTACGACGGGTTAATATTTCGATGAAAGTTCGAAATAATGCCCCCAAGGCCAAGGGCCTCGCCAAAAAAGAAGAGTTCGACCTCGATCGAACAACGACGGGTTAATATTTCGATGAAAGTTCGAAATAATACCCCCAAGGCCAAGGGCCTCGCCAAAAAAGAAGAGTTCGACCTCGATCGAACAACGACGGGTTAATATTTCGATGAAAGTTCGAAATAATACCCCCAAGGCCAAGGGCCTTTGCCAAAAAAAAGAGTTCGACCTCAATCAAATAACGACGGGTTAATATTTCGATGAAAGTTCGAAATAACACCCTCAAGGCCAAGGGCCTTCGCCAAAAGGAAGAGCTCGACCTCGAACGAACAACGACGGGTTATTATTTCGATGAAAGTTCAACACCCTCAAGGCCAAAGGCCTTCGCCAAAAGGAAGAGCAACTTTGATCGAACAACGACAGGTTAATATTTCGACGAAAGTTCGAAATAATACCCTCAAGGCCAAGGGCCTTCGCCAAAAAAGAAGAGTTCAATCTCGATCGAAAAACGATGGGTTAATATTTCGACGAAAGTTCGAAATAACACCCTCGAGGCCAAGGGACTTCGCCAAAAAAGAAAAGTTCGACCTTGATCGAACAACGACAGGTTAATATTTCGACGAAAGTTAGAAATAACACCCTCAAGGCCAAGGGCCTTCGCAAAAAGGAAGAGTTCGACTTCGATCGGACAACGACAAGTTATTATTTCGACGAAAGCTCGAAATAATTCCCTCAAGGCCAAGGGCCTTCGCCAAAAAAGAAGAGTTCGATTTCGATCGAACAAAGACCGGTTATTATTTCGACGAAAGTTCAAAATGACACCCCTAAGGCCAAGGGCCTTCGCCAAAAGGAAGAGTTCGACTTCGATCGGACAATGACGGGTTAATATTTCGACGAAAGTTCGAAATAATACCCTTAAGGCCAAAGTCCATCGCCGAAGAAAATTGGGACTCGCGGCGGGATAATACTTCGATATAAGCGCAAATGTAACATCTTTACGGCTAAGGTCGCTATTAGAAAAAGAATTCGATACCATTCGGACTATGATGGGATAGCACCTCGACACAAGCACAAAATCACAGTCCCATCAGCTAAAGTCGTCTTCAAGGCTCTACTCAACCCGCGTGACATTTAATTCCCTAAGAGTCGGGAATTCATCACTCGGAAATCTACTTCTTTGCACCAAAATTATGAAGAGCAAAACGGGAAAAGAAGTACAAAAGGCATATAACAATGGAAAATTCCTCTTTATACAAAGCTATTGCGCAAACAGCCGCAGATTACATACGGCTAAAACCAACGGAGTCCAAGAAAAAACAATAAACAACAAAAAAAAACAGACAAAGACAACAATTCTTTCACTCGGCACCATCTCCAGGAAATCCTCCCTCATCGTCCGCGCCCTCATCAGCTTCCGGCGTCGCAGAATCATATCCACAGTTAACACGAGCCTCTCGTGCCTTCGCCCATGCTCCTTCATATGGGGCCTCGGTAATATTGCTTGCCTCTCACGAACTCTTATATATGTCCCACTGGGATTCAACATAAACCCAAAGCTCGTGCAAATGACGGGGAACAGCGGCGGAGGAAGATTCGACTTGAGCCAACAGTTGCTCCTTTTCGGCCTCAAGAGCAGCGACCCGGTACCCTAAGGTCAATGCTTCCCAGTCGATCTCTCAAATGCGTTCCTCGAGCCTCGCCTCTCTTAGCATGGTCGTCGCCCTCTCCGATTTCTGCTCGGGTTGGAGGACGCGGTTAGTGTTCTCCAGAGCCACCGCCCTTACCGAAGATGATGACCAGACACTCTCGATGTTCTCCAACTCGGCCAATTTTCCCATCCACTCCGCGCTCATCGCCTCGACCCTGATAAGATTCTGATCCATCTCAGACTCCATTGACCTCAGCATCCGCTGAAGATACTCGCACTGTGCAGCAGCCCCTTTGCCTAACTCAAGCCCTTCGTCCTTCGCACAAAGTTGCTCCTCGAGCACGCTACTTCTGTGAATAGCCTCCATCGATTGCTGGTCCCTCTTCTCCAATTCCTCGTTGAGGGATCGAGCACCAGGGTTCGCCTTCAGCCGCTCATGCATCTCACGGCACTTTTGCGATTGCACCGATACTTCTCCAATATCTTCAGGAAAATCTTGGCCCGAATGTCAGCCCTATGAGCGCTCTTAATTTTCGCCATGTACGTCTGAAAAACGAAAAAATGGGTTAAGACCATATCGTCTAGAAAAATAAAAAGGAACACGAAAGAAAGGCAAAATGTACCCTCAAGCCCATAACAGCCACTTCATGCATCAAGTCAATATCAGGAACATTCCGAAGAGCCTCGTTCTCGACAACAGAACACAAGATGTCGAACTGTAGCACCAGGTCCTCCATGTCCCCCAGGAGATTAATATCCGATGAGATATAAAGAATACGGGACGACCTCCCGCATGAACCACCGAACGGGTAAGACCCTCTTCAAACATCAT